CGGCCGACATATATAATAGTAGAGGAAGGCTAGGGGCCGGGGTGTGAGGCCCAGGCAAAGACAGAGATTCTGGAACGCCTGCATTGCAGCCCAAGAGTTCAGATGCAGTTGGGTCGGTGCAACATTTAATACTCGGAGCACGCCCGTCTGAAAGTCGTCGAAGGGTAACTTTATGCCTAGGTCTTCAAACCAACACATATAAGCATAGAAGTACTCGTCCCCCTCGGTTTTCGGCTCCAAAAACACGAAGTCGGTCTCCGACCCATCGTCTTCACACGCCTCGGCGAGTAATGGGAACTCGTCCTCTCCGCTCCCAAAACACTTCTCCAAAGACACGAATGTGTCCAATAGTCCCTGGTCGGACAGCTTTAAAAAATATATGCCGACCTCCCCATCCACCCACTCGTATCCGGGCATCTCCACCGAACCGTAATCAATCTTCGCCTTTGTTTGAGTACTCGGACCACCCATGTCTTTGCCTCGATTATCCACGACTACTTCCAGATCATCTCCACTCGCTTGGCATGAATGGCCTCGGCATGTGGGCTCTGCTGGCCGACCCGGCCTAAACACCTAACATCCACCTCGGTGGCTCGCGCCAAAGCCACGGCCAGGGTCACCGGAGGTGATACCTCGACTACTTCATCGTCACTATCCTCCCGCTCGGGAAATTCGGAGGGGAACACTACTTCGCACTACAGCGGAGGCAACCTTGATATTTCGCAACTTTCAACTACCGCATTTATTACGCCGAGCACTTACTTGAGCGTTGGAGTGTCTTTGCAGGTACCCCCCCCCCCCTCACATCGAACTACCCGGATAGGAACGAGAAGACCGAGACCTAGGATTAGACCCGTTACAACAAGGATAAGTGAAGTGTGTATCCTAATACAGGAACATTACTCTTAATGGTACATAATTGTTTTATTTATTTATAAATTTTAGAAGGAATGATACAATATTGGGATGTATAGAGTAAAAGGAAAGGAGTTATAAAGGAGAAAAATAAAAGAAAATTGTGAAAATGACGTGGTAAGTGATTAGAAAAATAAAATTGAGAAAGAGGAAACTTGGGATAGAAAATGGAAAAGATAGTAAATATATATTTATATTTATTCATTCAGTAATCAATATTAAAAAAATTCAATTATTGAAAATAAATGAATAAAAAACAAATTTTCGGCTGAGAGTAAGTTATCTTTAAAACTAGAAGTAGAATATCCGTTAGGGACGTGTTACTTTATCTGCATAGGCAAACAGGAATCAAAACTCGTGTCAAATACTTAAATTGATTGATCAACCATTTACTACAAAAAAAAAAAGTGTGATATGTGGCAGATATTTTGCAAGAGAGCCAGAATGCCGAAAGCCCGTTTCGGGCCGGTGGCGACAGTGATGGATTGGTGTGATTGTGAATTGTGATGTGAAGTTGCATGATTGATAGAATTAGGATATATAGAAATGCTTGTAAATACTTCATTAAGTAATGAGTTATGATGAAATGATGTTATAGATTTTCCTTGTGTTCTTTACATATAGATATTTTCTTTTCTCACCGTATAATTTGTGAATGTTTTAAGTAAGGAAGATCCGGCTATGAGTGGCATCTAGAATGCCAATAGTTGAATTATGGATATGCTCTGATATTGTGATATCGAGGCAGAGAATTTCTAGAACATGAAATTTTTATATGAATTTGGAGTTGTATTTATTATTTTAAAAACAATTTGTAAACTCTTATGTTTTATTTTCCAATGTTCATTTTCAATCATTTTGGATATTGAAGAACATTTGTGAAGGTTTTTATGTGAACCATTTTACCAATGTTGAAAAAAATTTATTTTCTTAGTTTATTTACATTATAATTACAATATGTATTGGGGTAATAAGGGTGTCACACTAGGCCCACCAAGCCCATTAAGCCCACTAAGCTTTGAAGCAGTCAAATTTTCAAGTAATCTTCTGGACATAGCTCGAGTGGTTGGACCTTTGGTCCATGCTCTTCCATCACTAATACATTCAAAAGTAGTGGTCCTGCAAACGTAAACGTCAAAAACTTTCTTAGACAGGTCATTGATCAGTGACTTGCAAAATATTTATCAATATTTGCAAGCTACGACAAAATTTGTTTTTTGGTAAAACACACAACATTCTAGAAGAATTCACAACATAAGGGATTACAAAAAGACCTGAGCATCACAACCACGTTGTCATAAACTCTCACAAGTAACTCGACTTTCTTTAAGCTCCCGTTGTAGCTCTGCATTGCTTGCTTCAAGTAACCATATTTTGTGTTTAACAATCTATGGGGGAAAAAGAAGATTAGCAACCTATACCTAGAAAATGATGGATCAACTTAATAAACTTCCTAAATCAATGATGTACCTAAAGTTCCCCAAATGCCCCACCAGCATCACCTCTATAAAATAGAAGCTTAGACTACTTGCTCAATCTGACTTCACGTTCTCTGCATCTGAGCTCCCACTGGGTTATGTTTGATCTAAAACAACAATTCAAATAATAAAATCTAAGAAACATGAAATTTGTCACTCACATTTTTAGAAAAAGGGACGAAATGGAGTAACCAACATAATTGAATGCTCAACAAACAATAGCATTAACCTAAACCCAAATTTCAACAAAACAAATCTCAACTACATTGACCAATCTCAAAAGCAGCACATATGTTATCTTAAAATTACCAAAAAATAGTCACAGAAGCAAAGAAAAATATAAAAAAAACAACAAAAGCAAAAATTCACCATTAAGGCTATTCAGGCGACGACAATCTTCTTCTTCTTCTTCTCTGCAATGGCCTTGACAAACGCCTCAACAATCCGATGTTGCGACTCCAAAATCATGAAACCCTTTACCTCAAATTTCCTGATGATGGAAACTAAACTAGCCAGGAAAAATGCAGAAATTCTTTGTCTTTTGCAAACACTGAGAATTAGAAAAAACGTAACCCTCAAAAAGGCTTCCTTGTGTACGCACCACTTGTTTAGGTTTCAAAAATCACCCAAATGGATTGCTTCGAATGCTGAACTTGATATTTGCAAATGTTACAGAGCAGCCATATTTTTCTTAAGAAACTAAATTATTTAACAAAAATGAACTTAATGATAGTAATACTGACCTGTTAATGCTAACAAATGTTTTGAGGGGTTGCGGAGTGCGACCAACAACAGCGGAGGGGCCTGCAGCGGAGAACTTGAGCGATGGTCACGCGAACAGGGCGTCGACACGAATGGGACCAGTCGCTAGTGCTACGAACAGAGTAGAGCCGACGGAGGGCAAATGGAAACTAAATTACCCAGGAAAAACCTTCCTTGTGTACACACTACTTGTTTAGGTGTAAAAAATCACCCAAATGGATTGCTTCGAACAGTGATTGGGTCATAAACAGAAACCCTACAAAAGACAGAAAATTAAAAAAAATTAAAGGACTAGTCTGCAATTTCAAAATCTTAGTCATAAAAAAATTACTAATTAATAATCTCAATCATTTATTATTTTACTATTATATCTACGGTTAATTTTCATGGTGCATAGATATATGACTTGCATTACTAGTCCTTCAAAGAATTTACCCTAACTTTTGTATTAAAGTACCCTTATGTCATTCAACTAAATTTCTAAAAAAGTTTTACCCATCAAATCAACTCTTATAAAAGTAAACAATGTTTAAGTTGAAGAATGAACTCCAACCAAAATATTTATATTAATAGTTTTTCATTGTGTTTAATAAAGAGAAAAGAAATAAAGAGAAAAAAAAAAGGAGAAAAGAGACGTATAAGTAAGTGTAAAAAATAAAGTAAAATTTGTTTGATAAAAAAATCAAAATAAAATGGAATGGAAATTAATTATTTTTGTAGATAATTATGTTTTGTTAGACAAGTGGCCTCAGATAACTTAAGAGGGGAGGTGAATTAAGTTATTCAAAACTTTCTTCTATTACTTTTTAATATCTCTTATCATGAACAAAAAATAATTAGAGTGATTTTAAGTGGAAAGTTTATATGCAAAATGTTTATTTCTTTAAGATATTTACTTAACAATCAACAAGTAAACAAGTAAAAGGATAGGGAAGAGAAAATTGCAAACTTAATTTTATATTGGTTCGGCCAACCCTTGCTTACATCCAGTCCTCAAGTCATCCACTTGAGATTTCCACTACAGATGAACACTCAAACACCTTGGAATCCCTTTCTTTTGTGTTGAGTTCCAGTCACACTCAAGAGAAACACTTTCTCTCGATTACAATAGATGAACTGAAGATTGTTCACAGGATAAACTCTTTATAAGAGTAGATGAAACAAGTTGAAGATCCTATAAGAACTTTCAAAGATTTTGCCAAGTGTTTGGCCAAAGTTGTTTTTCAAAAAAGTTTCTCACAATTTTTGTTCTACGTTTTTCAAAAGTGTAGAGGAATATATATATGAGAAAATTTAAAGCTTTCTAGTATTTTCATGAAGAGTTTTAACTTTTAAATATTATTATGAAAAGACATGTTGGTAATCGATTATAATGGGTTGCTAATCGTTTACAATAGTTAAAATTCAAATGTTGATAATACCGATGATGCTTTCTAATTTGAATTTTAAAATTTTGTGCTACTAATAATCGATTACAACATCTGGTAATTGATTATCAGACCCAAAATGTATATTCCAGGGCTTTTAATAAATTTAATCTTGCATACATTTCTTAAGGTATCATTTTGAAAAATTGTTTCCTTGTAAAGATTTAAATAATACTTTTACTTCTTATCAAAAGTATATTAAATGGTTTCCTTTTAAAAAAAATATTTAAAGGCCAATGCATCTTGTAAAAACCTTAGAGATTCTTTTAACAAGGAAACTAAATTAATTGAGACTTATCTAATCTTAAACTTGAATCAACTTTGCTTCAGCTCAATCTTTGTGATGTTTTCTTTTCTGTTGGCATCATTAAAACCTGTATTCATCACATTAACATGTTTAAAACAAATAAACTGATTATTATTATTATTTATTTAAATATATATATATATATATTTTATAAATAATTTTATTTCAATAAAATAAATATTTTTATTATATTTATTATTATAGTTATATTATTTTAATAAATAAATATAATATTTATGAATAAGTTTCTTTTAA